ACCAGAATACATATTCAGATATGTGTTCTGGGCATTTAAACCAGCCATTGATGGTTTTGTGCATTGACGGCCGGTAATATCCATAGACGACACTCATGTTTATGGAAAGTATGATATTAAGTTGTTGATCGCCGTTGCAGTAGATGCTAATGGAAGTATATTTCCCCAAGCATTTGCTATTTGTGCCAGTGAAATCCAAGAGATGTGGATATTGTTTTTGAACCACTTGAAGGAGCACGTTGTGAGACAGTGTTCAGGTATTTGTCTAATATCTTATCGGCATGGCGGTATTTTATGTTCTATACAGAATTTTTGTACATGACAGGAACCGTATACCTACCACCGTTACTGTGTTAGGCACTTGAAGGCCAACTTCCAGAGGGCTTATCCGAATAAGGACTTACGTGATTTAATGTGGATGGCAGCAACAGATCACCAAGAGTGTAAATTCAGGAGGCGAATTGAATTAATTAGGCAAGAAAACCCAGAAGCCTATCGTTGGTTGATGAGACATGAGCTTGACAAGTGGACTTTGCATGCGGATGGTGGTAGAAGATGGGGAATTCAGACTATAAATGTGTCAGATTCTTTCAATGGGTTACTGAAGTCTGCACGTGGATTGACTGTCATTGTCATGGTGCGGATGTCATTCAAGCAGATGGCAGAGAGGTTTGTTAAAAGATCTAGAGGTGCATCGTCATTGATGGAAATGGGTGTTGAATTTATGCCACAACCAATAAAATTATTTGTGAAATATAGGAAGCGAGCACAATGGCATTCATTTTTGCAGTATTGCAGCGAGCGAAATATTTTTGAAGTTCGCACTAGTCTGCATCATAATCGTGGGAATAATACACACAATGTCAATGAAGCCAGAAGATTATGCTCCTGTGGAAAATGGTCAATCTATCACTCGGCATGCTCACATGCCATGAAGTGCTTTTAACATACACGTTTCTCGACAACGAGGTACGTTGATAAAGAATATAGTGTTGCTGCATACTTAGACACCTATATTGGACAGTTGCGGCTAGTTGATACTGAGCATTATTGGCCACCGAAACCATTTAAAATGGTGTGTAACAAGGATTATGTGCGTCAACGGCAAGTGCAAAAAAGAGCGCATATACGGAACCAAATGGATGTTGGTGATACCATTTATGCGCGTAAATGTGGCATGTTCCCAAACAGGACACATCCATTGTAAATGTCCTTCAGCTGGTGTGGAAAGTGGTGGTAATTCAGCTCCAGGTGGCAGTTCATCCAATGCGCCCAATTATCAAGGATAAACGTAGTGTCTTTTGCAGTAATTTTGTTGTACTAAATGTCTGTAAATGTTCAGTTTGCAAAATGTATGAAATAAAATTATGTTTTCAATGGGATTAAATCTAATTTATATTTAGCATTAAAGATTCAATACAATAATTTAACATACACCCCAAGAAATAAATAACAATTGTCATTTGCCATTATCGTCATTGTCTGGCACTATTTCATTGTCATTATCTTCATCTTCTTCGTCAATATCTTGTACGCACCCTTCAGGATTGAGGGCATCATAATCTAGGCCCCAGTTGACACGCATTTCTCGTATTTCATTGCTATCATCAATAATACCACTTGCTTGATTTCTACAACAATATGGGACTCCTACGTTCAACGTCTGTGGTGGAAACTTAGTTAGTCCCTCCCACTCAATAACTGTTGGAAAAACAGGATAATCATTGTCTCTATGCAATTTTTTATTTTCTAATAAATCCTAGTACTGATCCTCCGTTCCTTCCAGGTAGTTAAGATCATCCACTGCATGATGAACAACTAGTGTCTTTTTCATCTCTAGAATCTCCTTCATCAAATGTCGAATCATTCCTGGTTCATCTTTGTATGTGTTTGTTTAGAAGGTTGCATACAGTGCTTGTGGTACAACAAGCTCATGCCAGTGACATAGTACTTCATAATCACATCATTTTGAGTAAAGGGGAACCCATTGTAGTTTTTCGCCCCAAATTCGCAGAACTTCAGGCTTTCTAGAATGCGCTTCGCCCTCAATAATGTGCCCTGCAACTTTGAGATCAGTGTGTGTATTGACATGCTTATTTTCCAAGGGACGTAGAACACCATACCACTTGCCATCGACCAAATCAGTATAACAACCTAGCATATGTTTTTCAAGGTAGGGATCGAATGTGTTATGACGTATTTCATGTGGATCTTTTGAACTACCTTTACCTTTTTGCCTCTTATTAAACCACTTATTAAATGTTAGTGGCATTTCTAAAATTGATGATGTAATGTTTCTTCAAATGGTATTTGAATACTGATCTCTTGGTTCAACTTAAGAAGAACTAAACTAAACGAACTTGTATATTAAACGTAGCGCATCACCAATATGCGTTAAGTGTATTGTCATGTTAGACTGAAAAATCTATCGACCTGAAAAAGCTGTCGATCTGAAAAAGTTGTCGACCTAAAAAAGCTGGACCTACTTGTACCCGTAAGAATTATTATCACGCGAAACATAGCGCCTCACCAATATGCGTTATGTGTTTTGTCATGTCGACCTAAAAACGTTGTTGACCTGAAAAAGTTAGACCCACGTGTACCTGTAAGAATCGTTATCACGCGAAACATAGCGCCTTACCAATATGCATTATGTGTATGTCACGTCGACCTGAGAAAGCTGTCGATCTGAAAAAGTTATCGACCTGAAAAAGCTAGACCCACTTGTACCCTAAAGAATCATTATCACGCGAAACATAGTACCTCACCAATATGCGTTATGTAACCTAAAATCACTCATAGCTGTCTATAAAAATCTAGTGCATTTTAGTTATTATTTGCGTTGTAACGAAAGAATAAATATGGTTTTGAAGAATGGTATGATGAACCCATTAATCAGGAATACTACAAATCATGTTTGTTAAACATTTGGAATCTAACCGGTGAATACGAACTCCAAATCGTGAAACTACAAGAATAACTTGCGGCAGTGAAGGAGAAACTAAAAGAGGTAGAAGAAGAAAAAAATAGGTTGGAAGAGAAATTTAAGTGGTTGAAGCATAGAATAATGGGAGATAGTGACTAAACAAACATATGGATGCGTTTAGTGTAGTATTTTATTTTTATGCTGTACGTGTCATGTATTATCTTTAATTGGTAACGAATTTAAATTTTTGTTAAGCTGTCATTTTTTGTGTGTTCTAGTGTTAAACTAATAAATAACTAGAGAAATAAAAACATATGCGCAAATTATGTAAAAGGTAAATAATGTTGCTATTATGTATTTAATGTCATATATACAAATAATAATAAATGTCAATGTGTCCCACTGCCTGTATGCTTTAAAGCATTGGCTGGTCTGAGGCGCATCCCATCCTACCCGGCTACGCTATCAGGATAATCCTCATCACGTCGCCTCTTTATCGGAGGATGCGCTGCAGCATGATCGTCGGTAAGGCTGGCAGACTCGGTAGAAACGGCCGTCGGGCTAGCAGTAACCTACAGAATAATAAGATATTTTAGTATATGAAATATAATTTACTAACGTACGTGTTACCAATTTTTTTTTAATGGTCATACCATGGTCTCAGCGGGTTCCTGAACAAAATCATCCATCTTCGGCATGTCAGTATTGCACAATGTGGCCTCCGTGACAGGCGTTGATGATATCTTTAAAAAAAATACTTTAGATATTACTAACTAATCAATGAGATAAAAACAAATAGAAATAATAGTAATACAAACAAACCTGTGCCTAAGTAATGCCACAATGCTCTGTCGGAACATCGAGGTGCACTAGAGTAAATGAAGTATGTGAAAGATCCTCAGCATCCCTCGATGATGAGCCATAACTCAGTCGTCGCCCGCTATGCACCTCTCGTGTCGGATGATTATCAGCAACCGTCGATGGCTCTGGGGATCAGGAAAATACTGATCCTACTCATGTCGCGTAATGGTCGTGCCCGCGATCAACAATAGAGCTGACGGGGTCACCTGCGAAGTCCCTGGCGACAACTGAAGGCTGAATGGCGGCATAACATCTCTAATATCATGAGGAGCATCGTTTGTCTCAGTGTGTTCACCCGGCTGATCATTTTTAATATCCTCCATAGTGCCTCAACGCCCCCTTGCTAGGGACCCCGTCCTCGCCGACCACCATGACCTCGTGAGACACCCTTTCCTCTCTGGTCGCGCCTGCCACGTCTACCATGTTCAGGCTCCACTGGTGGCGCATGATGGTACTCCTATGGCGGCACATAAATAGCCTTGTATCCTAAGCGCTTATCATCTCGGGTACATCTCAATGTCTCGGCAGCAAGACCAGTAACCCGATGGCCAAACACGTGCAAAGCTATCGCTCCTTCGCCGGTATGCTGCAGCAGCTGCAGTCCCAAATGGTAGAACTTATGTAAGCCAATAGCCTGCATAACATATAAAATATTAATTATGGAAGGATAATGTAACGTTATAAGTAAGTATAACAAATAACATATCAGTGCCTCATGCCTCCCAGCGTATGGAATCTACTGACCACCAGCGTGATGAACAGGATTCCCGATGAGAAGTCGGGTAACGTTGCGATACCAACACCCATATGCTTATGTTCGCCATCTGTACGCTCAGGTAGAGGGCCCAAACCTCATTCTGGGCCTCTAGCCATGCCAAGTATGTCTGATCAACCCTGCAACGATCATCCCGCTGGTAATGTGTCTTAAGCCAAGTGGGCGGAATAGGTACAAGTTGCGGTCGATCAAAATGGCGAAGGACTCGCTCGGTGGCATGATGCTCGACTATTCGAGACATATCAGTGGGACGAAAGAGCTCCACATAGCTCGGTCGTGGGAGCAATAATCGGGCAATCCAGCTATGAGCGCGTCACTGTATGGCCTCCATACAAACTATTTATTAAACACAAGAATCGTGAGTAAACACAACATATATAAAGCCAGGCCGAGTAAACTTAAGTATATATATACATGCGCGCATTCAAGTAAATCCAATCAAATCCTTGTAATAGGGAGATGCTGTCGAGCCTCGACGTCGCTTCTGTAGCCTCGCCTATCAACCCACATCCAAGCTAAAGGGAGAAATGGTGGAGGTGGTGCATCCGGAGCGATCGGTAATAGAGGTGGCTGGAACTGCAGGAACCGCTCCCAGGCCCAAACCTAATATAGATTGTGGACGTAAAATTTAAGGTATTTTTTTACTATGTATGTTATAATCATGAAAAGAATTGACTATATTTTCACCTGCAGTAGCAGTAAAAATCCGGCAACATATCTATGGATTCCCATGCACGCCTGGCACATCTGCCTATACAGGTAACCTAGAACATTTGTACCCCAGCAGTAACCAAGTAAATTATCTAGCCGCTCCAGATGGTGTAGAAATCTCAAGCTGACTAGGTTTCCCGAAATGTTCGGGAATAGTACACCACCAAACATCAGCAACAACAACAATCTCGTGTGCCGGTCGATATCCTCCGGCAGTGAATCATCTGTAATCTCCGCATCCATCGCCGCCAGATGCTGCCTGACGGGCGTCAGCTGCAATCGACTGGCCGCACTCAATGCAGTCGGCTCCACTGGCTGGAAACCGGTGAGCCACTGCAACATATGTAGGTAATCCACTCCTCTATAGTCTCTAAGAGCATGCAGGTAAGCTACAGGTAATCCATCAACCGACAGCCCGAAAAGAACCTCCACGTCCTCAAGCGTGATGGTAGCCTCGCCAATGGGTAGATGAAATATGTGCGTTTCCGATCGCCACCGCTCTATCATAGCCGTGATCAATGCCCAGTCGAATTACAATCGATCGATCTTTATGATCCTGTAGAAATCCGTATCCTGAAGGCGTCTAACTATACGGTGATGAAGTGGGTGGTCCCTAATGAACTCCCACATATCGTCTATACGTCTGGGGCGGGATGTCTGGGATATACATTGCCCATCCCAGATGTATGAAGAACTATGATTGCCTTGTAGCAACAATAGCTCTCGAGATGTAGGTCTGGGATGCACATGGGGAACCTCCATGACGATATCTGTAAATTAAACAATATTAATTAAAGTATTTTTCTATTTAATTGCTTAACATCTTTAAATATATTGCAATATCTTTTATATTAATATTTAATTAATATTTTTAATATATTATTACTTAGGTTGATACATTTTCTATATTATTATTTTTTATGTTAGTTTATTACATTATTTTATATGTTAGTTTATTATTTTATATGTTTGTTTCTTACTCAGCTATTTTTGGGTATAATAGAATTAAATAATTAATTTTCATAACTATACATGATATAATTAATAAGTATTCATATAAAAATATTTAGTTTGACAAATTTTCTATATTGTTGTTTTTATGTTATTTTCTTACATTTGTTGACTAAAATTCGAGAGAGTTTGTGTTTGAACTGTCATCTTTTTTTTTTTCCAGATATTTTTGGGATTAACAGATAATTAAATGATTAATTTGATTAACTACAAAGATAATTTAGTAATTATTCATATAACAAATACTTAGGTTGATAAATTTTCTATATTAATATTTCATATGTTAGTTTCCAACATACTACGAAAGTAACACTACTCTAAATGGCCATGAACAAAGTTAGCTACCATTAACTAAAATTTATTATCAGTTTTACTACGCTAAAGGGCACTATATTACAATTACGGACATTACATCTATTTTACAAATTTTTAACACATAAATAATCTAATCCGGATAAAAAATAATAAATTAATTAAATCACAAAACAATCACGAAAAAATATAGACCACAGTAAAAAAAATAACTAATAAGCATTTTTTATAACAACTAATAACATTAATTATTCATAAAATAATAATTTATCTATTTTACTAATTTTTTAGCACATAAATAATCTAATCCGGATAATAAATAATTAATTAATTAAATCATAAAACAATCACGAAAAACATAGACCACAGTAAAAAATAACTAATAAGCATTTTTTATACATGAGTTTTACCAAAAATTAAGTCGGAATACCTTGATTTAAAATTTTTTGAAAGGTAAAGATTTGATGATTTGGGGGCCGAAACGAGCAATCCACTACGCGATAACACCTTAGATCCGGTGTTAGCTTGCTACAATACGGAGAAGATACACTTTTTGTGGGACGGGTGGGCTCCAATGTATTTTTTTGCTTTAAAAAAAGGGGGGGACCGCTGGAATGGGGTTTGGGGGAGGGCATTGGTTTTCTGGTCGGGGAAACTGATGACCCGCTTTTTAAAGTAGGTATAGCGCATGTATATAAGGCGCTAGTGCTCTGTATACATGCGCTATACCTCCCGCCTTTTTGAGTTCAAATATAGCACGGTTATTCATCGCGTTATATCTTAACGGACAAAGGTGCCGTTAAGGTATAGCCCGGTGAATAACCGCGCTATATATAAAATGATACTCAATTTTTTTTTACCTATTTATGTCGTTTGAGTCCAAAAGAACCGATCTTTGGTTCCGGACTCCAGCTTTGCGTACTTTTAATTCTTAGCTATTACTTTCGCCAACGCCCAACAGTAACTGCCTGGCGTCTGTCGCTTGCTTTAATTATCCAATTTATCCAAAAGGTTGTAATTAATCACCATTACAATCATCATCTGGTTTTAGGAGAAATTAACTATAGTCCTATATTTCATTCATACTTCTCAGAACCAGAATATGCCAGTACAATATTGTGATCACCCACAACTGAATGTCCAAATTGCATTTGTAAGTTCAAAGAAAAATAAATTGTATACAAGCAAAGGATTAGAAAATAACTTGTTTGCTCCAATTAACAATTACACTTATTTTCTGGAATAACAACTTTTACATAAAATAACTTCCGTCCTACAAAACACGATTCTAAAGATATTTATATAATTCAAGAACACAAGGCATTCGAGCTAATTAATGGCTGCTAAAACGAATGATAACTAATTGCAATGCCTAGCCGAACCTAATGATGAAAATCCATTTTGGAGGTAATCAGGGCCGGCGATGGTCTTCAGATTTGGAGATTTGTTGTTGTAATTGGCACAAATTTTCACTGGAGTCGGAGTGACCTGCATAAACATGTAATTCCCAGCAAAAAGATCCCCAAAATGCGACTGACTTTCCTTCAACCTCTTCAACGTTTTAGCCAATGCAGCAACAATGAACCTAGCTTTTCTCCTTAGGAATTTCTTCAAACTCGGAACTTTTATCTTCAATCGCTTCCTTAGGTGCACTTTTCTGAACTTTATGTTCCAGAAAGAAGAGGGTTTTTTCCTAATTTTCCCAATTACTTTTTCCCTCAGGTGTATTAAGTCGATGTCTTCTTCATCTTCAAAATAGCTGCTTTCTTGTTTGAGTTTTTGGTAGGGAATTTGCTTGACAGTGGTGGATGTCATGTTTTGTAAAATGGACAAAGATGATATGAACAAAATAGTACTGAGTTGGTTAGAAGAAAGTGTGTAATTTATATACAATAAATTATAGTATATTTTTATATCATTTAAATATAGATGTTACTGCCATATATAATATTCTCGTCCAATTTATTGAAGGTATTTGATTAAACACAGAATTAAAGAATGTAAAATTATTAAAATTTATGATCTCAAACATGTTATTGATATTTCTGTGGCTAAATATAAAAAAATATTTTTATTTATGGAACATGCTAAAAAGAAAAGAGTATTAAATAAATTGAGAATGATGGAATAAGCAAAAGTTTTAGCCAGGGTAAAAAAGGAGAGTGCCTAAGATAACAAGTTTCAATATACAAACTACCCTTTATAATGAGATTGATTTTCTTTCATACTTAACTAAATGTTTTAGATTCGAATTTTTGAGAATAGAAAAATTCTTGATAGCGAGCCTTCTCCCTTTAATTGGCTCTACGTAACGCGAACCTCCGAGAATGAAAAGATATATTTAATGGGACATATGTAATGCGGATTTGAATTAGTCGAGCACCCATTACCAAATTATTATACTTAAAGAAAGTTAAAGATACACTAATAATAGATAGTTTATAGTATAAGTTAAATTGCCAAAAATAGGTGATACAGCCGGCGGGGGTTGTCTTTGTCATTCCTAGTTGGATCAATACATCATGTATGTTTGTTATTAATGCCCAACTACATTGCGGGGTTGTAGGTGTGCAGTTTGTTGAGTGAATTAAATGCAACGAAATCGTCACCAAACGGAGCTTGCGGACAAGTGAGTGGCACTTGAAAACGACTAGCCAGGAGCGGAGCTAGCCCTTCGGATACAGGTTCGGTTGAACCCAATAATTTTTGTTCAAACCTTATATTTATCTTAAAAAAATATTGAATTATATACAAATTATTGATTAAGAACCCATTAACTTAAAAAAATTAGAATACTGAATCCACAAGTTTCAAATTCTGATTACGCCTATGCAACTAGCCACGCCCAACAAGGTGACACGAAACCATTAACTAACGTGAAAGAAGAGAATGAGCATTCTCGTGTATCACTTTCAATGCCACAAGCCCACAACAAAACACTTGCTTTCTTTTATTACACTGCCATTTTGGCCCGGTGTAATATTAGTTAAGGGTTCGACCAATCCAATATTTTTTTACAAGTGGTAACTCAAAAATAGCTAAAGTTTCAAAAGTAATTGAAATTTAGCCATTTTTTATATAAAGAAAAATCTGAACGAAAACACTATTCAAAATTCGGAAAATATTCCAGCATAATATCTTGGAGTTCCGGCATAATATATTGGAGTTCCGGCATAATATATTGGAGTTCCATCATAATATGCTGGAAGTTCATACGCAGATGCTCTAATCTCCAGTATATTATGGTGGAACTTTCCGTGTTGTAGCAAAATAGTGGTTATTTTTCAATGACTTTATAAACGCTGACTATTTTTCAATTACCAATCCAAAAATTGGGTAGCACGTGCTATTTTCACGATTATTTTATTAACACAAATTATTCTCTTTACGTCACATTATGATCCGGTTTGATTGCATCAGCAGACAAGACGGCTGGTTATTGATCTTTTTTTAAATATCATTCATAAATATGTAAGAGTAGGTCAAATTGCACAAATTATTGAAATGACAAGTGCGACTCTTAAAATCGAAATTAGGAGTATAGTAACTCCTTTTATTGTAGTTGTCCTAAAAGACGGCTGGTTATTACAGGCGTTTAAAATCAAGCACCTTTTTTACAAGGAGTAATAGAAAAATAAAAGAAAAAACGATCTCGTATAGTAATTCCCTTTATTGTATTTGCCAGATCTTATCTTATAATCAAGAGACATGGAGTAACCAAAAAGAACAAAAAAGGGAAAAGAAAAACCATCTCCTGTTGTATTTTCCACATATTGTATTTGTGAAACTCCAATCACATTTTTGAACCAAAAGATGTTCCAACTTGAACAACAATTATCTAATTGTCGAAGACAATGTCAAAGCTATTATATTAGGCTTATTGCACATGCTTTGAGTGAATGTATAGTCACTAAAACATTTTAAAACTGCATTAGGTCTTGAAGCAGCAGGTTACACATATGCAACCAACAACAGGACAAGGTTTCCACACCATCACAAAAAGACTCTAAAAGGGCACACATATGAAAATGAAAAAATGATTTACAAATATTTTTATCCTGGGGATCTTAAGCTTCTAATATAATATTGGAAGTCTAATTGAAAAAAATAAGTACAATCAAGAATCAAACAATGTACAGAAGAAGGAAATCATGTTAGCGCAATGCTAATGCCTTATCCAACAA